GAGAGAGAGAGAGAGAGAGAGAGAGAGAGAGAGAGAGAGGTTTCCATACTACTTGAGTGTGTAAAACGATCACTAACACTGAGCAACTACTTGCTTTATGCAGTTACCCCTGTAACATCCCTACAAAGCAGCCATGGGCTCTCACTGGAGATAGCCATGTGTAAGCAGCAGGAGAGCGTGCCATGGTGAGGGCAGAGGTGGAACTGGATTAGACCTATGTTGGGGCACAGCCCTCAGACCAGCCGCTAACACAGATGCCACTCATGACCACAGACACAAACAGAACCACTGGAAAGACACCAATTCACCCAACTCTCACTATGGCCAGGAACCTTCTGAGTATGGTATGCTAGACCTTAACAGCCACGATGTCTGCTTATAAGAGACCACACACAATGGATCAGATTTAGGCTTTCCTAGTAGTATTTATTCCTTTTTAGTCTTTATTCACTCTTGGTTGTAATAGTGCATGATGTAAAGCAACACATTAACAAATCTCATTCAGAGAAATGAATTAAACAGTTATGGATAGAGCTCAGTGGCCAAACATTTGCTCAGCATAAATAAAGTCCTGGGTCTGAACCACAGCACAGAACAAAGAGAGGGAGAGAGAAAGGAGAAGGATGAGCCGTGAAGATGAAGTAAGAACCATCAACGACAGGTAGAAGCCGTTAGTCTGGACTCTGGTTTATAAGGGTCCAGTATTCCAAGGCTGTAAAGTCTCTATATTTCATTAGTACAAAAAACAAACTTGAAAAACTGGGCAGTGGTGCTTCACGCCTTTAATTCCTTCACATAGGAGTCTAAGGACAGCCTAGTCAACTGAATGAGTTCCAGGACAGCCAAGGCTACACAGAGAAACCCTATCTTGACAATCAAATCAAAACAAAACAAAACTCCAAACCAAACCAAACCTAATCAAACCAAACCCCAAAACACCACCACTAACAACTTCAAAAACTCAATGGAGCTAGAGAGACGGTTTCGGTGTTAAGGGCTTGAGTTTGATTCCTAGAAGCTGCTTAGGTGCCTCACAATCTCCTACACAACCTCACAACCACTCTAGCTCTCGGGGAATGCAATGGCCCTGGCCTCTGCGGGACCACCATTCACGTACACATACCCACACACGGGCATATAATTTAAATAATAAAGAAATCTTTTAAAAAGTCTAAGATGTGAACTATTTAAACAATCTTCTTAATGTAAAATTATATAAACTAGCATCCACCAGGTAACATTTGAAAGTGGTATAAGGAAGAAGATACCATGAGGATTTATTAAACTAAGGGAAGAAGCCAACTGCCCCTTAGTTTTAACAATTACAAATCCCTAAAACATGGCTGCAAATTAATGCAGGGTTCTATGTATCAGAGACAGAAGAAGCATTTTTCACTAGAAACTGGTGGGAAGGGTATGGGATGCCAAGAGGACTGGTGTGGTGACTTCCTGTGGAACCCTTACCTTGCATGCTGAAGGCCCTGGGTTCATCCCTAGCACCCTAAAGGGATGCAAGAGGAGACAAAAGACTGCCTGGCACTCGTTATGAAACCAGCAGCACACTAGCACTCAGCCGCAATCCTAGTACTTGCTTCCCAGCAGAGGCAGGACCACCACCACAAATTCTAACCAACACAGTGAGTTCTAGGTCAACTACATAGTGAGCTTCTGTCTCTGAAATCAATGGTTCTCAGCTTATTAGTGTGTGACTAGACAACTTACATGTTGTTATGGGCTAGCAGGCCTTTGTATAAAAAGGTTTAAGGACAGTATATGCGTAATAAGTAACAGCCACCTGTCAGTATTCTCACCATAAACGCAGGGGGAGAGAACGCTACTTATCGAGGGTTAAACATCTCAGTAACATTTCCAGTCTATTCGACAGAGCACAGAGAGAGGAGAGCAGGCCTACATATGAAGGCATCCACACCTCCAAATTTAACATCACTAAGTCATTCCTAACACTGAATCACACTATAAAAATGCTTGGAGTAGCACTCATTCATATCACCCCCAAGAAAACAATGGAGAACTGTTAAAACTCAGTGTATTTGTCTAAGTAGCAACAATGGATTCTTCGTCTCCATTTATACCCTATATAATGAAATGTCAAAAAGAAAAGGAGCACAGCTTAACGAACTCACACCCACACAGCAGTTCTGTACTCAGTGAACCTCACTGAGTTTGTTCCTGTCTGTACGCCTTACCTTTCTGGAGTATATATATAAGTTAGGTGTTCTGCCTGGAACTGGTATGCCAGCTTTAGTTAGCTTTATGAAATACTTCTGTACACGACTGGCAACCTAAAGAAACACGATAGCTCTTTCAACATAATGAAATAATGTAATATTTGAGATTTTTTAAGTGGTAACAATTAAATTAAGAAGTAACTTTCAAATTTTCAAAGACATTTATAAGTTAAAACTTAGATAAATCTAATTCAAGTACATTTAAGTTTGTTTGATTCCATAGCTAAACAATTCTTCCACCAGGTGAGCACTGAGGAATACACACGAAGCCCTATCTGTCTGTCAGTAATACAGATGGGCATGAGGAAGGAGGCTACGGTGTTCATTTTCAGAAAGACAATCAGGGATGGTATTAATGAAATGCCACAAAATCCAACAGCACAGTCTAACAAAAAAGGACATCATCAGCACACTCACTAAGCACTCAGGAGATGCAAGGTCCAATACACGCATGCATACATGTGTGTGTGTGTATTAAATGTTTTATATTGACACAAAAAAGTATTACTTATGCTGTTTCTGCTATTGCCATAAAAATAAGCAATGCTAATCAATTTAAAACTACCATACACTAGAGCTAGCAATGGTATCAGTTGTGCTGGTGTGGCTGCAGAATTGTCCACCGAAAACCATCTACCATTCAGTCTGCCATTCCCATCACCTGTTTGGCTGTCCGGTTGCCCAGTTCATCAGCAATCTTCTGCCACCGCCGAGATTCTACTTCTTCAGGAGGGTATTTAAGGAGTAGCTGTTCAAGTTTTTTCTGCACCAAACACAAGACCAAATTTTAAGGGAATAAAGGATTCCATGTAAATTACTGGATTTCTGAATAGATATATTCACATTTCATTCACAACACAGTACTGCTTTCCCAATTCTGGATGTCATAGCACATTATTAGAGATTCTCAAGATAGAAACAGTTCCAGTTAGGAACTTAAGATGCCACAGGCAAAATGAGATTAGAAGAAACACTCATAAGAGCCCTTATAAAGGCTCTTCTATTCATTTCAGTGGCAAAATAGCACAAGAAAACAGAGGAGAGATATATTGGGGTTGTATACATCTCAGTGAACATAATTTTCCAACTATCTTTTCTTGCTGGAATACAGCCCTCTTCAGCTTTAACAGAAAACATGCAAATTCACTAGATCTAGAATAAGACTCTTCCTGTCACCGAGAACCTAAGTGACACACAACCACTGACTGCATGAAATCAAGCTTCCTTGAGGCTTTGCACAGACAATCCTAACAGAAATGTTCCAAGTATGCCCGTCTAGCTTCTCAGCTCCCCCACAACAGAAATTAAAATGCAACTGAAAACAGCACTGTGTGTCTTGAGGCTTTTCTTTCTCACACCTACTTTTAAGAGTATCCATCCATGTCTAGCCTCCTTCCCAAACCCAGTTTTTTTTTTTTTTTTTAGTTTAAGAATCATTCTCAAACAATTTGTATGTGTTCAAAATCCAAAATTCACAAAATACACAAAATGGTGTAGACAAGTACATCTAAATATTTGATATTTAGTTTAAAGGATTAGTTTAAAGAAATCAAATGCAAGATGAATTAAACGCAACAGTTAGCAGTTTCCTGGTAGTACTAAGTCTACTCTAATAGCCTAGGTTTCCTTTTAACCCAAAGAAGCAAGAAGTGTGCATGTGTCACCTGCTCTTCAACTGTCCACAGCTGGTTGAAGGTCTCAGGTTTGCTGTCATCACACAGACGACCTCTTATCATCTGCATATAAAAAAGGATTTAGATAAATGGAAAATATCAAGGGTATAGTCAAAGAGCACACGAGAAATGTTTTAGAATTTTCAAAACATCTTTGCATATTTTAATATATACATCACCTATTTACACAGATTTTTTTTTTAATATTCTTGTAACTCCTCTCTAGAAACAGAAAATATGGGTTCAAAATTGAAAACAGTCCAACCAAGTGAGACAAGGCCACATCTGAAATCCTGGTCACACTCTACAGTGCACTGGGACTAGGAACAGCACCCACAGTCCCACTTAAGATCCATAAAAACCCAAAATGTGACCAACACAAGTTACATCTTACAAGAACCTGCAACTAGAAAACTGGGGCATAAACAGTAACAAAAGAGTCGTGGCTACCAGCTTGGAGGCAGATTTAGGTTTCCTCTTAACTTGAAAGCTCATGTTCTCATTGTTTGTCAGTAAACAACTCTTCAGTTTAAGAACACAAATCAGCAAAAGGTTCCGTGTCATGCTATTCAGGTATTTCACAGCGCTTACCTGAGGACGATTATGGGAGCCTTCTGGACCATCACTCAAAGGCAACATGGAGTACGAAAGGGATTCTCCCTCCTTCTTAGCATCTAAAGGACTTTTTGGTCTAGCAGGCAATCCTACTAAAAATCAAGTCATACACAGAATTATTTAATCAGGATGCTGTAAGACATTTTCCTCATTAAATTCTTATCACATAGACTCTTACCTTTATCAAAAACTAACTTAACTCTCCTAGTATGTCTTTTTCGATGTTTAAATTCTCTTTCAAAGTTCCCAAGGCTATTGGTATACTGGTCCCACATGATTTCAGGCAACTGAACAACTCTCTGTGGGTATGGAAGCCCTATATCAGCCTGGGACAAAAAACACAAAACAAAATAAAAATATCAGGGAGACAATGTACATTTAACTCAAAAAAGGTAATAGGTAAAATAAAAATGCAATAGGCACATTGTAAATTCTACTCATAGGGTGCTAACTACGACATATTAGAAATACACTATATACAGAGAGACATACTGCATAAGTAGCAACTTTACACTTAAACACCACACCAAACACCTATCAGCTCTAAGAACAAGCACAGTGAGTGTCCCAGATGCAGCAAATGATGAGACACACAAAGTTTGACATTAGCCTCAAGGGTGTGGCCTATCCATCCTTGCTACATAATAATTATGACAACTTTTTCTTTCTTGTAGTACTGGGGATCAAACTTGGGGACCTTACAGAAAGCATGCAAATGCTATACACCACAGCTACATCTCTTGCTTCAAATTATGACATCTTAAAAATAAAACTTCTAAATTAAATCTATGACAAAGAAAAACAACATACTTTTGACTCTTTACTGAGCATATGGATTTTAATACACATCTTTTTATCTTTGTAAAGCTAAAATGTTCAATAACACATCTTTCTGAATTTAAAACATTTCTAAATTAAACCTAGAAATGAAAAACAAGCAAATAGCTAACTGCATATAAATCTAGTAACTATGCCTAAATGCATATTTTGCTTAACAGAATACAAATAAAGCAAGATTAAAGTTAACATACATTATCATTTATTTCTCTAACAGTTTTAATTTAACCTACCAAAACTTGCCATTTTAAGAATATCTTTGTGCTCAAACTGTTTAATAATAAGAGGTGGAGTTGGGATTTTTCCCGTTTATTTATTCTTGTGTTTTAGGGTTTTTGTTGCTTAGGGTTGTTTTGTCTTGTTTCTTGTACATATGTCTTACAGCTCAGCATGACTTCAAATCTGATCATTTATTTAGTAGGAGAGGATGACTTTCAACTCCTGATCTTCCTGCTTCAGGCAAGTGATTGGATTCTAAATTTGTACCACCACACTGTTCCAAGGGGAACCCTATTTTAACAGAGAAGGTACAATACAGCTCTAAAAGCCAGTTCTTAACAAGCCAATATATAGATGATGTATGTATTATGAAATGCAGTGTTTTCTGAAACCAGGGAAAGGAACAGTGTGCTGATTAACGAAATGACATCTCACAGTTCCATTGTACACAGAGGTCCACAGATTTGGCTTTGTATGTTTTCACACAATGCTGATTACTGAGCCTTTCGAAACATTGAGTGAGGTTCAGTGGTAGCAGAGCACTACCTATACAAGGTCCTGGTTCCATCCCCAGTGCCAGAGAAAGAAACACACACAGACACACACACACACACACACACACACACACACACCAGACATTGTACTTGTGTTTATATACACACTAATCAATTTGGGGCTCCCTACTTTGATGCACTAAGAGTTTGAATGGCTCACTTGTTAAACATTCAAGTTTCAAAAGAAGAGAGAAAACAGTTTCACAGTAAAAAAAAAAAAAAAAAAAAAAAGTCTTTTACAAAATTTAAATAAAATTCAAGTTTCTCTTCACAGACTTGGTTATCACAACCTAAAATAAATTTTTGTTGTCTGTGTAAGTATTTGCTTTTTTACTCAGTAGCAAATGTAACCCAAACAAAAGCAGTTAATAACTAGTAAATCCTCTGTACCAGGCCTCAGAGGGTAATAACGTAGGGAACAGATAGAAAAAAAAAACAAAAACGCTCTTGGCAAACAGCCAATGAAAGGTCAGCTCTGTTCGTCCGGGCAGACGTCACTGTGCACTACATGGGGAAGAAGACAATGCTGCCTTCAGTGATATGGCTAACCTGAAGCAGGCTGTGGAATATTCTTAAGCATAAACTCATTTTTTTTAAAAAGCATAATTATTTTAAATTACCAAATATGCCATAATCTTTAAAAGTACCAAAGTGCATTCTTTCTGTACCTTCTTCTGTAGTTTCTCCACAAATCCAATAGGATTTTTTAGTGCTTCTCTCTGGTGTCTGCCTAAACTTTCCAGGTCTTGCACTGCTTGAGAACGCTGAGCCTCAAGTACAGCAATGGTCTGCAGCAGTCTCTGATAACTAGAGACAAAGAGAGGTCTCTCACTTCAAGTTCTCTACTATCAACAATAAAAACTTAGTTCAGGTCATCATCTACTACGTATTAAGACACACAGTCGTTTTAAAGTTACCTGAGAAAGTTTAGTAAAACATATTACTGGGAATAAATGAGGTCTTCCTGAGTTACGAAGTACCTAGTCAGAAAACATTAGTTAGAGAAAGCAAAGCCTTCTTTCCCATCTTAAAGCTTCTAATTCTTGAACCTTGAACAAGTTCTGAAAACAAGAAACATTTTAATGTTTCAGCAACTAAAGTTTTAAGAAACTTCTTAATAAAAGAACCAAAATTCCACAATTTCATACAAGGAGTCACCAAATCCTGCTTTGTGCTTGTACTAATGTGGGAACGAACGGACGGACGAACGGAACGCCTAAGGCAGCACACCGTCTTCCCCATACCACAAGACAGCAGCGGCACAGTGTGATACGGTAGTGGGTCACATCGTTCTCAATTGCTCTATAATGTCCTTCCCCCACATCTGAAATTTCCCTTTCTATCACAAAGCCCACTCTTTGTTCCAGCATTCAACATAAGGGCAAATGTTCACTTCCAAGAGAAAAGCTGGAGGCATTATTTCCCTACCTGCAGAGGTTCGCTTTAGAGAGTGAACACAGTTTCATCCACGTCAATCTACCTACTTGTCATCATCCTGGAACATCATCACTACAGGAGACACACTCATGAGCTCATTCTCACTCAGCGTCTCTTGGGTAACACTGGCCTGAGTCTGGAATACCTGGCTTCACATATAAATACACAGAAATGGAAGAACCCCGTAGCCTTGAATGTTCATATACTTCTCACAGAAATAATTTGAAAAGCCATCCCAAATTTAGTGCATAATAAGAAGCTATGTCCAACAAAGTATCAACAGAGCAGTTTTCCTTTACGGTCCAAATACGCTGTTTCTCAACTCCATTATGGAAAATACATCTGTTTTGCTTGCTTTTTTTTTTTTAAAGTCAAGTTATCACACTCCCTAGCATATAGACACTCAATAAATTTATTAAATAAATAACTGTCTGCTGCTTTGCCCAATCAGAAGCAGAAGAGAAGCCAGCAGAGCAGCAGTAATATCTAAGGTGAAACAATGCGCCCAGGGGACTCGCCACCAAGGTGATGCTTAAACCATCTCATCATTGTTTTCACATCTTTGCAACTCAAGTGAATGACATATTGAGTACCAACATAAAACTGTACGAGTTACATACACAGTCAATTTGAGGCCAGTAGAAGACACAAGAGATGCTGTCTGGGGGAAGGGCAATGAAAGCATAACTTTTCAACTCTAATTTTGCTCAACTCTGACAAAATGACTACCAGGCATAAGATAAACACGTAAGATCTATAATGATATATGTATAATGAAAACCTGTAGAGGAACAGTGAATTCAAGTCTTCTACCCCAATTTCAATCATCTCTCAGATCAGTCAGAGACTTTGCCAGCCTATTCCTGAGTGGATATAAATCTGTCTTCAGTCCCACCTGTGGCTCTCCACACTGAGAAGCAAACTCAACACGGAAGGGCTCACCAATGAACCCAAGGCAGGAAAGACACAGCTCTTCATTGATACAACCACTGTTTGCTAAGAAGACAAGGCACTCTTAAAGCTCTAGCAATCACCAAGATAAAGCAGACATGGAGATGTGGATGGCCGCGGAGCTACAACAACGGGAGAAGGAAACAGAACTGGATGTGCATTAGTGAACACCGCTGACATCGTCATGAGATGAGAGAAGGCTTGCAGCTGAGGGTCGATCACAGTGGTCACCTACATTTTTGTTTGAAATTCTCCATAATTTTAAAAAGAAGGCTGAATACGATGGTGTACTTCTTTAAGTACAGCAGCTGAAAGACAAAAGGCAGGTGGATCTCGAGTTTGAGGCCAACCTGGTCTGTGTAGTGAGTGAGTTACATACAGGACACCTGGAGCTATCAAGTGAGATGCTGCCTCGATAAAATAAAATAAAAATAAAGACAGACAGAAAGAAACTGTGTCTTTGATCTAAAGTAAGAGCAACATATTAAGTGACACTGTCACCTAGTGGTCAGATCACACCTGCCAATGCTCTGCTTGGGGCATGACAAGAAAAGTGACCAGACAAGACAGATGTGCAACCATGTAATAAGAGGCAGCAAGAAAGGCCAAATACAGAGGGCTAAAATGTCTGAAAACACCACAATAAAAGGTCTAACATTTGTTGTGTATATTGTATTCTAGACACTGCTATATTTTAAACTTCATAAACTTAAAATAGGTGTCATTCAATATTCAGGGCATACTACAAAGAAAATCTCTGTCTCAAATAGAAGATGTCAGAATAGTGTCAACTCACCACAGATGTTCATCTAAATATTAAAAAAAAATCCAAATATAATAATAATGGAAAAAAGTCCTAAACCCCCACAGAACCAACATAAAACATTTTCACACTGGTTCTGGCTCTACTTGTGAAGATGATGCGTGCTTCCTGTGTGATGTGAAGTTATAACTTTTCAACAAGACTGCTGTGTCCTGACGCTGTAAGAACTGCCTGCCTGACCCTCACAAGATGCTAACAGAGTCTGTCTGCAGCAGAGTTCTCCATTTCACTTTTTATGACCTTGGCATGCAGACATTCAGCTTTCAGGCTAGGAGATGGAAAATACCAAGTTATTTTTGCTACCCTTCCTGGCCCAGTTTTACTGACTTTTATGAACATAAACATTTATTATATCTAAAAGACTTTATTGTCCATTTCTTAGGCGGTTCTTGCATGTGCAGCCATCAATAGAGGAGGGAGAAAGAGAAACAGGAGGAGGAAGATGGAAAATTTTACTTTTCAGTGCACCACCATCTTTTTCCAGGGGCCAGGTTTCCATTTCTATGGTGGAGAGAATTCTCAAGAGCTCATTTGGACACTTTTAACCTTTAAAAAATGCGGACATTCAGCCAAGAATGCTGGCCTGATTCTTCAAAATAATAATTGTCATCATAAGGTCCCTGGTTCAGTCCTGGGTTTCTGCACCAGATGAATAAGAGGAGAAAGAAAAGGTAAGACAGGAGTGCTCCCAGGTGTGGTGGAGGAAGGTTAGTGCAGATGAGGAGCACAGCTACAGTAAAGGCAGGGACATCTGGGAGTGCAGAGGAAGCAGAGCCTCCAGCTCTGTGACTACAGGTGTGGTCGCCACAGTGAGATGCATGTCCGTATGCTGACGACCGCCTTTTAGTAAAGATTTTTTTAAAATTCCTGTTTTATCTACATTTGTTTATATTTGGTTTTCTAACTGAATTTCAACCAATTGTTTTCCCCCTGAAAATTCTTCCCACATTTTTCTTCCCTCTACCTTTCCCTCTCTTTCTCTGCTTCGTTCTTTATTCCATCATTTTACCTCCATAGAGCTTACACTTGAGTCTATTTAAAGTATGCTTGCCCTTGCTTCTCTATACTTAGTGTAAGTGCCAGCACTATTCTTAACTGGTTTTCACTGTAGCCATACATACCTGGTTTGTGCTGCTGCTTTGGCTTATTATTATTATTATCATCACTTTGTTTTGGTTTTTTCCTTCCTAAGCATTAACAGGTACTGACTGAACCCTCAGGAAAAGACTGCTCAGCACACATATGCCAGCAGGTGCATACTTCCTACTTAAAACCACAAAAATATGAAAAAGCAAAGCAAAATTATTCTTCTAAATTCACATTTATTCAGTAACTGAATTAAAGGGATGCTAAAATGTCAACTCCAAAATCTAATATAATACAAGATCAATGATCTGAAAAATGAGAAATCCAGGAAATAGTACAGCAGGAAGAAGATCTGGTAAGTGAAAAGCTCAGTAAATCAAACTCAATAGGAAGCATCTGAAGGCAGAAGACAGTCCTAGTATATAAGACAGCTAAGGCAGTGTTACACCAAGGTGGCAACTTAGAAACCAATCACAACTACAATATTCAAGACGCTGAAACTCAAGTGCCCATAAATCTGTGCTGAAGTAAAGAGACTTAAGATACAGACTAATTAATCATTCAAAACTCCTCAAATTTAGGGAGAGAAAAATGTACATCCAACTACATACACACAGCAGTTACAAAGCAACAGAGGAAACCAGTAAAGAACTTTGCTCCCTCAGATTGCAATTAAAAACTGTAAGACAACAAACAAACACACACACACACAAAATGTGGCAATTAAACATAAGTTTGAATGGCTGTAGAGATGGGTAGGCAGTTGAGAGCACTTGTTACTTTTAACCCAGAGGACCTGGGTTAGATTCCCAGGACCATATAATGACTCACAACCATCTGTAACTCCAGTTCCAAGAAATCTGATCCCCTCTACTGGCCTCTGCAAGCACCAAGCATGTAAGCAAAATACCCAATATACATAAAATACAAAATTAAATCTTTTTTTTTTTTTTAAAAAAAAAGGATAGAAAAACTTTAAAATTTTTTTATTTTTCATACCTTGGTTTCCTTTTTCTCTTATTTTATGTATGTCAAAAGACAAAACAAAAATAAACAAAAACCCATCAATAACTGTTTATAGTATGCTCTTATACAAATTAAAGAGCCTGAAGATCTCTCATCAATTCTATGAGTTATAGTTAATACATTTTGCCTACAGTAAGTAAATCATTAAGACATTTAACTATTCTGTTACCATCAAACACATGATATCTTTTCCATTTCCAGAAAGCTGAATGATCCTTGAAAAAGAAGGCTGCTTTGACTTGCTTAACTGTACTTTCAAATCCTAACCACAGACTAGGCTTGTCAACACTTGGTCTTACAGAGAACAGTCTGTACTCTTGAGTGTATCAGACCCAGAAGCACTAAAGCTCACTGCCCTCCACACTGCAATGGCGTCCCACTTTTAAAAGGCCGGTGTTGCAGGATGACTCAGTAAAGTTGCCTGCCACCAAACATTCAGACACATACACAAAGAACAAAATGTAATAAAAACATTTTTTAAGCA